GGTATTCAAAACTAAACTCAATTCAAATGGGACCTTACAAAAGTACAAAGCCAGGCTTGTTGCTAAGGGGTTTCAACAAACCCCTGGCCTGGACTATTTTGACACTTTTTCTTTGGTTGTTAAAGCAGCAACCATCAGGATCATTCTCTCTTTGGTTGTGTACAATGGTTGGCAAGTTCAGCAATTTGACGTGAAAAACGCCTTCTTAAATGGTGAACTCACAGAGATAGTATATATGCTGCCACCTGAGGGATTTGAACCTGCTGTGGTTCAATAAGCTTCAAAGTGCTCTCTTAGCTTGGGGTTTCCTTAGTTCTACCTCTGATATTAGTCTCTTTCATTATCACAAGGGGTCTGATGTAATATATTTACTTGTTTATGTTGATGATATCTTAGTAACAGGAACTAATTCTTAACTCATTAATCAAGTGAATCAGGATCTTAATAGTCAGTTTGCTTTGAAGGTTCTCGGTGAAATGAGTTATTTTCTAGGCTTTGAAGTCTGTCGAAACAGGAATGGTTTGTTGCTCACTCAGTTCAAATATGCGCAGGAGTTACTAGCCAAGGCAAACATGAAAGATTGCAATCCGTGTAATACTCCAATGGCAATAGGCACAAAGCTCATGACTGATGATGGTGAATGTTTTGATTAGCCTACCTTGTATCGTAGCATCATTGGAGGGCTTCAATACTTGACTCTCTCTAGACCTGATATAGCCTTTACCGTGAACAAACTTAGTCAATTCCTTCAGCAACCTAAAACTTCACATTGGACAGCCTGTAAACGAGTTCTCAGGTATATCAAGGGTACTATTCAGTATGGTCTTTTGTTTAAACAACAAAAACATTTCAATTTAGAAGCATATGTGGATGCCTATTGGGCAAGTGATGTTAATGATCGAAAGTCTACTATCAGGTATGCTATGTTCCTTAGAGAAAATTTGGTTCAATGGAGCTCTAAGAAGTAGAAGGTTGTCTCTCTCTCTTCCACCAAAGCTGAATATCATTCCCTAAATCAGGCTGCTACTGAGGTAGTACGGATCCAATATCTTTTTAAAGAGTTGGGCATTGCAATTAGACATATCCCTGTTGTTTGGTGTGACAACATGAGTGCAAGGGCTTTATCTTCTAACCCCATATTTCATGCCCGAACCAAACATATTGAGATTGATGTACACTATGTAAGGGAGTTGGTTGCAACGAAACAATTGACTGTGCAATATGTTTCCTCAGAATTTCAAAAAGCCGATATCCTAACAAAAGCCTTATCAGGGAACAGATTTAGCCTGCTTAGGGAAAAACTGAATGTGATCTCTGCCTTACTAGAGTAAAAAGGTTCTAAATACATACTGGGAAACGATAGTGAGACTACATACTGCTGAAGTTGAGTGTACTGGATGCATACTGCAAACTGTTGATGGTCTTCCTGTTTTTTTTTTTTTTTTTATCAATACTCTGTTTTACAATACTGCACTATTCTGAAATATGCTGCAGTATTGTTCTATGAAGCAACTGATCTTGACATGCTGCTGTTTTATTATGTGAAGTAACTACTTGCTGCAGTATTGTTCTATGAAGCAACTGATCCTGGCATGCTGCTGCTTTATTCTGTGAAGTAACTACTTCTAACATGTTCTTGTTATAGTACACGTGAAGCTGAAAGGGTGTTAATATAAAAAGGAGCAATGTTGAATCTGAACAACAAAGAAAGTTTTGTTTAAGGGGGAATATTAGAATATAAAGGTATACTCGAAGACAATGAAGTAAGTCTAGCTTAAGGGAGAATATTAGCATTATAACTACGCAGGACTTCATAGTAAATTCACAGAAGTTAGTCTGGGGTATTTTTGTAAAAGCTCAGCTCATTTTGGGTTATACAAGATCTGTAAAACGCAGTGTTTTGGTAATGCTCTAAAAATAAAAAGCATCACCTAACTGCTTCTAACTATTTTTTTCTGTTACTGAAAAAATTTTTCCAGATCAACTTTGCGTTACATTCTCTCTTTCTTTCGTCTTCTTCTACATTGTTCTATTGATTCTTCTCAAAGTTCTTCAAAATAAAAGCCTTAGAATTAATAGAATACATGTTAGAGTCAAACATGTATTTTGGGATCATGCATAGACAGCATATAAATGCATGACATAGCATAACATATATTTCAGAAATTTTATAATTATTGGAAATGTCTAGCTAGTTATTTTGCAGAATTATAGAGCATGTTTTCAAAGGGCTGTTGCGATGGGGAACCTGTGAGCATTCGCTGCGTTAGCTAGTGGCGACAAAGATGCAGAAGTTTCCCACATGCACGCCGCCATAAGTGAGCAGCCTCATAATAGAAAACAGAATTGTGCAATCCGCTACAAGTGCATGTGGATGAGGACTATACCCAGAAAGAATTTCAGAATACACTCACACGGCCAGGGTTCAAAATCCATGCCTCAGTCTGGTCCGATCGACAAACTAGAACAGAATACAGAAAGAATTTTAGAAAGAAAGAAAATAGAATACAGAAAGAATTTTAGCAAGAAAGAAAAATATAATAAGAAATAGAAAACAGAAAGAATTTCAGAAAGAAATGAAAAGAATTAGAAAAGAATTTTAAAAAAGAATACAAACATGATGATTTGCATACGCATCAGACATTTTATGTGCATTGCATCTTATGCATTTATGCATAGATTAAACATTTTATTTTATTATTGCGTGTCTGACTAGTCAAGAAAAGAAAATAGAAGTCCATGAGAATAGAGAATAAAAGAAAATAGAAACCCATGAGAATAGAGAAGAAAAGAAAATAGAACCCTATGAGAATAGAAAAGAAAAGAAAATAGAAGCACATGAAAATAGAGAAGAAAAGAAAATAGAAGTCTACGAGAATAGAAAAGAAATTAGAGATATACAAGAAAAGGACATAAATTAGATAAATGCTAGAAAAAGAACAGAAATTAGAAACATTACAAATAGCATGGAAACTTAGATGTTTGTTGAGTAGAGAAAGAAACAGAAAGTTATAATCTAGCAGAGAAGAGAAATAAAATGATAAAGAATAGCACAATACTAGAAGGATTTAGAAAGATTTGAGGAAAATAGAAGACTACTAAGTAGTACGCTTGAGAATAAAGGGAGAAAGCAAGCAGAAATTTAGAAAACTTACAACGAAAATGGGGACAGCGGAGTAAGAGCATAGTTAGATTTGGTTTACTTACTGAGCATTTATAGTTCACCCCATTGCTTTCTTTAGTTTGCAGGTATTAGACTGTAATGGTCGGGAAACGTCAAGCTGGCGAGAGGATTACACACACTATCTTAGTAAAGAATTTTAATGTGGATTGCTATATTTGAGAAATAGTCATTTTGTAAGAGTATGTTATAACTGAATTAAGGATAAAAATTTTAGACGAACACTGTTTTTTTAAGCTAGCAATTCTCTAGATTCTCTCTATAAGATACTTAGTGAATACTTTCCTAGTGAGATATTACAAGCAAACTATAGTGAGTGGGTGAGGTACTATGATAACAGTAGCATGCAAATACTTAAAATAAAGTGGACAATAGACTTTTTATAGTAGTTTAGATACTTAATGCGAATCCTACATCCACTGTGATTGTTCATATAAGTCTTTCTTTCTGCTCGTTGCACATGTTTACAAGAGATTGCAATCTGCAATCTGAGATTAAAAGTGTTTGTGTTATAAGAGAATGTCAAGACAGACTCTTTCTATTAGTGTGTCTTTGCTCTTTTCTTTGTGAAATTTGTGTGTGTCTAACCTCTATTTTATGAGGGGGGAGCTGCCTATTTATACCCGCTTTGCTCAAGATAATAATTACATTTTGTAACTGGTTTGATGTAGTGAAAATCCTTCTTGCCTTCCCATTCGTTGAGAACTCTCATGTATATCCTTAAATTAAATGGGACTTGTACAGGTGCATGAACTAAATTCACCCTGACACAAATCCTTGAGGCAGTTTGGATCTTGATAGCTATATTTCTTTTGTCTTTGGATACATGTCAAGTTTTAAAGGATAAAATGGTTTGTTGGATTCTGACTAGTACTTGATTACGTCAACATATGTTGGCTTTTATTTTTAGGCATAGCAAACATTATTGTCAATATATAACATGTAAAAGCATAATATAATTAATTTGATTATTGAAATTCTTGCATGATTCCATATATTTAGGAAGGATGTCCATTCGTAAAATAAATAAATGCCAAAGAAAGTCCAATACCCTAGAATTTAGAAAAATGGTGGTAAGTGTTAATTAATTATAGTAATACAAACCAAATCCATGGTTGAGGAGACCAAGAAGCTTCAGGTGGACTGTTGGACACCTCATCAGATTAGATAAAATGTTAATTACTATTACGACTCAAATATTTTGCTTACATGTGCCTGGAGTGCTTTTTTGGAAAACTCGAGTCAAAATAACTAATTGTCAACCAATTAAATTAAATTGATCCACTGGATAGCTTATAATAAATTAATTAATTGTGAACTTTATGGTGATTCTTGCAGTAATCAAGATGACCATTTCCATTATTCTGAGGCAAGATGTCAGCATCAATGTGCACGCGTACATTTACCGTTCATTCTTTTTCAACTTTCATCATGGACGTATTTCAAGATAAAGAAAGCAACAATATAATAATACTGAACTCTGAAGCAACAGTGCACGTCTTATTACATTTCCCTCGGATGTTTGATATTAGGGTAACATTTACTCTAAAATTATTTTGAAATTTAAGTATCTTTTACAAATACTTTAACATTTTCTTGACTTAAAAAATGGATTTTGTTTATTTATTTTTTTATTTTTGGTAATCGAAATGTCTAAGCCAACTTGCACGTACTCAAACTAATTCTCAAGATCTATTAAACATTCTACAAACCCAAAAGGTAAAAAAAACTACAATATTATTATGATAGGTGACCCTAAGATTTGAATAAAAAACTCAAAGAAGAGAACAAATCTCTCTAATTACCAAGCCAACCCCTTAAGCTTGATTCTTTTTATTTCAAACACAAGAAAAAAATATATATATTTTATTATTATTCAGGATAATATAAAGTATTATCATGAATAAAGTATTATTCAGGATAATACTTTATAAAAATAAGGACAAATAAATATATACACCAGCATAAGCTTTGAAAAGGAGGCCCCAATACATGTACTAGGAAGGCTCCTATGCTAAACAATATCATGTACTCGAGAGGCCCATAAGCTCTCAAGTATCTGGCCTATGCTAGACTATATTACCAACCGAAAAAGAAGAGCCTCATCCAAAGTTAGCAGAGCCTGGACAGCAATTAATAAGATAGGCTAGATCTAATCAACATGGGCCCAACTGGGCTGGTTTATATCATAAAGTAATAGATGGAGGGCCCATGTGGCAGCCCACAGATTTGCTCCTATCCCACTCTTTCGCAGATCGAGCCTTAAAGCTCTTGGGCGATGCCTGGGCTGTTTTATCCGACACACGGAAGAAATCCACTTCGTCTTCTCCAATTCAGCAAGAGAAGGGAAGCCTACAAAATACATGGTTAAAGAAGCAAAATTGATAAAAAGAAAATTAAAAATGTCCAGCAGTGCCCTTGCATGTTGACTTCGCATTAATTATTGTATCAATATTAGGTTGCTTTCTCACTCTCATCTCTTTTATCAAAATGCAAAAACATTGTGATAAGCTTAAAATATTGAATTGGGAGATAAGATTCATTTACATATGCATGACCCTATACTGATAATTAAGCTCACCCTAATTTGAGAGAAGTATCAGAACTGTCATCCTCAATAGGCGGGCCGCTGCTGCAGCTGCAAACATTAGTAGCACATTCTGATGACAACCCTTCTTCCTGAATTGCGATTTCTGAATCAGCTAGGACGAGGCTTTTTCCCTTATACAAGTTGGATACCTGTTCCAAATTTGAAAGATCCCCCGCCATTTTCTAAGAAAATGAAATAAATAAAATTATTATAACAGTCCACCAAGATGAATTCTTATACCTTCTGTTTTAGCTGTCTATTCTCCTCCAATAGTTGTGCTCCCTGCAAATAGTACCAAGTTGAAAACTCAAGATAGAACTCTTGACTTATGGTATCTTAATAATCAAAAGCAAACTGGAGAGGTCTTCAACCAAAGAGCCTTGATATATATATATAAAGTATTGCACACCATTAGATGGAAATTAAAGAACTTAAGCTATAGCTCATGACTGTGTCCTTAAAATTATAATGCAAACTGAAAATTTGCATGTACATTTGAAAATTGCTAATATTATAAAAAGAAAGATCTTTTGTGGAAAATTTTGATGCCAAAAAATTAAAGTCATTATATATATAAAAAATAAAAACTCTCAACAGTGAAAGTCCACATATTTTAGTTGATTCATGTACTATAGATAAACATTATTTTCATATTTCCATGAATATCTCCTCTCTGACTTTGAGAAGATCTCAATTTAATATATCCTCATGGAGAAACTTGTTTGTCATCCTTCTAGTACACTATTGCTTCTATCACAAACAGTGACTGCTAGCTTTAAATTAGTAAGAAAGATCATGAACAAAAGGCATAGATTAGTAGTTTAAATTTTCCAAAAGAAAAAAATATAATTGATAGAAATAAATATTTGTCTTCTAACCTTTGTTTCAAGTGAAGAGATCTCGTTCATAATCAGTCCACTCTGATAGGGAAAATAAAACTCATATAAACACCTGCATGAATCATGGTAGATATATATACTTAGTTTGCAATAAAATTTAAAAAAATACATACCTTTGTTTCAAGAACACGCCCAAGTCCTGATTCAAGCAATTTTTCGAGTTGTTGTAATTCCTCTATATTCAATCCTTGAAGATCTTCTCCTCGCATTTGTCTATTATAAAAGGTAATATTAATAATGAAGGAATTTTTGCTAACTTACCAAAGTAAAGAGACAATATAACTACATTAAAATATATACCGTAGTTCATGGCTCTTTTCAGCAACTTCCTTGCTCAATCTGATGTTGTTCCTATTTTCCAGCTATATAAGAAGGGAATTGCAAGTCAGTTGTGATATGTAACGCTCGACAATTACTGGGAAATAGAAATTTATATATGTGATGCCAAGTTAGCCAATGCAAGTGAGTTGGAAATCTCTTCCATCGCAGTTTTTGAATACTCAACTAGTTAAAAATAAGCTTAATTAAAAAGTTAAATTAGTGAACCCCAAGCCTTTTGGAAAATTCATCTCAGAAATTCTAATGGCATGCCTACGTCATTTTCCTTTAACCTCTTAAAAAGTACATAGCGATCATAGTTATGTTATGATAATCTAACAAAACTGATCAAATAAATTACCTGCAGTTCAAGCGATAGCGGGTCAAGCTTTCCGATGTTGTTAGAATGCAGATTATACCTTGAAATCGTGTCCTTCATGCTTCACAACAAAATGTATAAACTAAATATATTAGACAGGTCAGAACTCATAGCAAAATTTGCCGTGTATAGGACTAGTTAAAGCACATTGAACTGTTTGAAACCATACTGTAACTTAACATATATGGCAAGTGGAGTTTAAATTAATTGCTAGAATAAAGATCCCATCAGCTGGGAAGGCATCAAACCCTATTCATCATAACTGAACTATCTATTCACCAAATGACATGTTTGTTTTCTGTCATTACATCCAATCATCCATCATCCACCCCATATTTTTAAGCATTTGCAATTAGTTATAACATAATACAACCATTCAACTGATATATTGACTGATAATTTAAGTGAAAATCAAGAAAACCTAGCCATTTGAAAATTTACAAGAGATGAAAAGTAATATCCAAATTATTTAAATAACAAAGTTCATTCACCTTAAATTTAGCAACTTTATAACACAATGTTATGTTCTAGTGAATGAAAATCTTAACAAACAGTAAAATTAGAGTAAAAAAGTGTCAACATGCCTTAGAGATTCTGTTACTAACAATTAACAAAGGATGTAATATGATATAACCACTTTGGCCAGCATAGAATAAAGTAGAATTTCAACAAACCCTTACAACGTGACATGATGAAGAAAAGAGCTTCTGTTATTCAGATGTATTGACCGAAAGGCTACAAAGGGAGGTGGAGTCACATATGAAGGAGGATCCCAGTTTAGGAGAAAACTTGGCTAAAGCAAATATATTTATTCATACTTATATCTACTACTACAGCTCAGATCAAATGGCCAAGGCAACCACTTCTTATTAATCAATCAACTTATAAATTTAAGACATGTATTTCAATCAAGAGACTTAACCATGAAAACATAAAGACATGGCAATAGTTTATATGATAATTTATGTCATAGGGTTAATCACATTCAAAGGAATTTAGAAATGTATATATTGATCCCCAAATTCATGAGAATTAAGAATTGATGTATTTCTATAGCAATAAAAAATAATTATGCTTCCAACAAAGTAATAAGTTTGAGATTTAGGTGAAGTTTAACCGTGCAGCTCTGAGAAATAAGATTAAAATCAAATTAATTATAAGAATACGCATCTATAATATATGATCTTTACATAACAAATGTTCCCCAAAAACCCATCTATATCAGCTCAAGAATGATCATGTTCACAACTATCACCTTAATAAACAGGTTACTCAATAAGAAATAGGAAAAACAAGCGATATTGTCATGAAACATAATGAACTACTTGTTCACTATAGTCATATAAAAAAAAATTAAGAATACCACAGGGGTACCAAGTTATCTATACAACCAACCAATGTATTTACACCACCTATGAAAAAAAAAATTAATCATGTTAGCACCTTTTACAATTAAAGTGTCAATATACATGATTTTTCCTTACAAATAGACATTTCCCATTGAATCTGGTTTGAGGCCATGGAGCCCTATTCTTCAAAAGTAATATCAGAATTTACTCCAAACTCAATCTAAAATAAGTCCACAACATTTTACCCTCACAAGGCCACATGCAATGAAAGTTCTCAAAAGCTTATTTATACTTATAATCAAACAAACAATTTTTGGCTTAAATTGAAAGAAAGTTAATTCAACTTGTTCAGAATCAAGCACATTAATGCATATAAGACTCATCGATGACTAATGTAAGGTCAGTATAAATTTTGAACAATTTTTACATGGTTACATTCAATTTTCAATATATATAATTATTAGAACTTGACTCACGTTTGCACTTAAAAAGAATTTTATTTATAAATAAGCTTATATATATATTTGATCGTACATAGAGACTGAAACCTGTGCATGGATAGGGGCGGATGTAGCGAAGTGGATCAAGGCAGTGGATTGTGAATCCACCACGCGCGGGTTCAATCCCCGTCGTTCGCCCATCAATAAACGGACCTTTTGTTACGAAGACACAAGACAAACCTAGAAAGAATTTTTTCTGCATGTCATCTTGAGGCTTTCAAACGCATCCAAGCAATTGGTATCCAATTGAAAGAGAAAGATAGGAAGCATAGATTCGTGCATATATATGAGATCAACTGATCAACTCAAGTTCAAGCTTAGAAAACTTACAAATATTATATACAGGTCCAAGCCAAGCGACCCAAAACTCAACCAAACATTTTCAAACCCTTGCACAAACAAGTCTCATTAGAAGGTCAATTAGCTAGACTCTTTCACCTTAAATGAACTAACATCGAGCTTAATTTAGAAGGTCAATTAGTGTCTTTCACCTTAATTAAACCAACATCTAGCTTGATTTGAGCTTGGTTAATTCCTTTATTAGCCACATTCAAGTAAAAAGTAAAACTAATATTGGCCTGCTCGGTTTTGCAGACCAACTTAATCATGTTTATTGAAATGATAAGAGTCATTATTCAAATCAGCTAGCCTTTGAAACCAAGGAAGTTAAATGGCTGTCTGCCACTATGGAAACCCAAAAATTCAAGAGGACTTTTCATGCGGAACCTTGAATGATAAGGATGACACCAAAATTCTCAAAAACTCAAAAGGCTTTAAATTTGATAAAAATTTATGGTCCTATCACACATTCATGAACATTAATTATCATAAGTTTGAATATTAATGCTTGCCATAAGATGCTTAACCATCGACCATAACTTTGAATATCAACAAGTAAAAATTCTTTGCCAATCTATCTTGTTTTCCAGCTAGTCTCGCTGAATTATGAGAGCGTAATTTGTTATACTTAAGACAATATAATGTTCAAATATTAGAACCAAACGATATCAAAGTTAAAGTAAAACTTTAATTCACTGAATATATTGATACTTCTCCCCTCTTCTTTCATATCAAGATAGAAAATGCTAATTAAAATAAAACTTGTAACATCTACTTCAACCAGTATTCATTATTGTTCAGTTTTTTAATGAGAATGATCTGCTTCATACCTTACATTTCGTTATTTAACCTAATTATGATATTTTTTTTCACTAAGAACTAGCAGATTTTTAAATCATGAAATGATAACCATCAATTCTTATTTAAAAAAATTAAAAATTAACAACATTTTCATAACCATCAATATATAGGTCTGGAAAGTTGCTGTCAAACATACATAGATTACTTGCAATCTTGTATCCATTTCATACACAAACAAACACAATAAATAACTACTCTACCTAACATGCACCAAGAAATTATTTATAATTTTACTAATGAAATGATAAGTATTAATATGTTCATATCATTAACAATATTATTTAACTTCAAACCTTATTATCAAACAAACAATTAAATATTATACATATACAATACTTACAGTTAACCATTAACCCATCCCCCATGCATCCTCACTCAACCTGTGTTCTTTCGAAAACTATTTATACTTATACAATTGACTCAATGATATTTATTACAATATTTATTTTGTTAACTACCATAACAGTATCCTAGATTATAGATACGTAATAAGGAATGTAATTAAGCCAAAATAAACTAAAATAATTACTTCATATATTTAACTTAAGACATATAACATAATTGTTATAATGTATATTTATATTTCTCACCTTGACACCAATTAAATAATTAAATATAGGCGTACGTACATTCATCATATGGTTGAACTCGTTGAATATTTGAAGTAGTTAAGCTCGAATACAGAGATGAAGTTATAATATTGGTACAAAACAATATATTTCAAGAATATGACAAAATAATAGGTCAATTAAGAATATGATGAAAATGTTTGAGACGTTGCTTTTATGCGATCTGTATATATTTCAAGAAAGGTCACCCCACAAGCCACAACGGGATCGAGACTCCGCCAAAGTCTGTGAACCCGCTGTAACAAGCAACCATAGAAATCAAAGTTTAAGATCTGATGCGAGACTGCTGTTGACCAGAAAATCTAAAAATGCAATTCAATGGAAGAGATAACAAAGATCTTGGAAGTGGCCGTGAGGATTTTCACTCTTAATTAACATAAACTCCAAAGAGTCCATAGAATTAATCAACTCTGAGAGTGTGAACCGAAGTACGACGTTTTTTTTGAAAGCAACCATGGAATTCAGCAAAGAAGTTGCTTTATTCCCATCTGTAAAAAGAAATTTCTTGCTGCTTGTAAGATCGAACGAAATGGGAAAGAGTAAAAACTTGAAGGAGTCTCTCTCACGCGCGCACAAACACAACGACAAAGAGACGAAAGCACATAAACGCAGACACGGGAAAACAAAGGACCGAAATGATAGGTGGAATTGAAGAAGAAAAGTTATAGATTTATCGTACGGAATTTTAATATAGAGGAAAAAAAATGGAATTGGAAAATACCTGGAGGCGCTGCAGTACTCAAAGAGCTTGCCAGTAGCTGAGAAAATGATGAGAGCAATCTCGGCGTCACAGAGAACAGAAAGCTCTTCAGCTTTCTTAAAGAGACCTCGCTTCCTCTTAGAGAAGGTGACTTGCCTGGCCGTCACGTTATCAATCTTCTTGATCTTGATCTTCTCTCTCGCCATTCTTCACCCTCCAAAAATCATCAACCCATAACTTTCACATTTTCTAAGTATAAGAAAGTAAGAACCATACATATAAAATGGAAATAAAACGGGTAAAAATGAAGTGGATTTTCTTCCAACTTATGAGAGAATCCTAGTAGAAACCCTAGTTAAAGACCCGGTTCAGATCCAGGTTAAGAAACCCAGAAAAAGTTTTAAAATAAAATAGAAAAGAAAACCCACCAATCATAACTCATGAACATGCAAACAATTACAGAAGAATGACAGATTAAAGATTTTAGTGTGTGTGGGGGGAAGAGGGGGTTTGTTTCTTATTTACCTTCTCGGAGTGGTGTGTTAGGTCTGAACTGATCTCACACAGCTACCAAAAGGCACTAAACTAATTGGAGAAAGTGATTTTAAAGAGAGAGAAAGACATACTTGTGTGTTCAAGAAAGGAAAGGTTGCCTTCCCTTTTATAGCCAAACAGTATCTTTTTTTTTTTTAATTATTATCTTCATTTTTTTAATAAATATTTATACTTAACCAAGTAATTAAGATGACTATAGGTTAATATACGAAGAGAGATGGGACTGATTAAGACACGACTAATGAGACATGGATCAACGCGAACTTAGTTTTTTAATCAAAATTTTAAATAAGCGTTTTTTTTTTTTTTTTCTTTTCTTTTCTTTTACGGGGACGATCGCTTTCCGTACATACGTAACATGCTCCCACTAGCTTAGCGATAATGACCTGTACCTTCCACTTTCAGCCATTTTCAATCCTCATTATTTATGAGTTAACAATTTTTACCCAACCCAAATAATGGATTAACGACGAATAATTACTCGTAAATTTTTAAAATATTATTTTATTACTTAACTTTATAATCGGATAACGAATAAAAAACAAATTCAAATAGTTTATTAAAAAGAGAGGTTGATAAGTTTTTTAACGATGAAAGATTAAATTTTGATGATTGAGATTTATCAAAATTTGATTTGAGAGAGACAGTTGTACAAACCTTAATCACTTGATTATTAGTGATTGACGAGATTGATGGAAGTAAGGTTTAAAGAGTTTGTATAAGTGATAATCGAAAAGAGAATGGTGATGGTGTAGGGTTGCAATGATGTTAGAATTAGAAATTAAATATAAATTTAAGTAATAAAAGAACATTTTAGGGCATGTTTGGCACATTATTCCATAAATATTACCCTATTTTTTAATTACTTTTATACCCCATAAGGTTATTAATTTCATCAATACCCCATGAAAAAAAAAGTTTAACAATTAACAAAAACACCCCCACGACCCATATTTGTCAGATTTCGGCAACAACCACCGTCGGTGGTAGTCGAAATCTATCACAACGGTGAATTACTGACCGGAATTGGTCAGTAATCCACCGATCTGACCTTTTCCAGCCAGATCCACAGTGGATCTGGCCGTCAGCGACGACCAAAGAAATGGTCATCGTTGATGGTCAACGACGGCCAAATCTTGGCCATTGTTGACCGAAAACCACTGCCATATCTTTGCCCATCGTTTTGGCCTTTTCTAACTGTTGACGGCCACAGTAGGTCGTAGATCTGCCTTTTCCGGCTAGATCCGTGGTGGATCCGGTCGGAAAAGGCTATAGCGACGCGTTACAACACAGATCCGACCAGTCTGTGTTGTAATGCGATTTCCCGGCCAGATTCCAGCGGTTGTGGTCGGAATCTGGCACTGCAGGTGATGGGGGTATTTTTGTCATTTTATATGTTGGGGTGTTCAATTAAATTAGTAAACCTATGGGTTTTTTTTTATAAATTTTTAAATTTTACCTCGTAATACTCCCCTATTCAACTACACAATATTATTCCCAAAATCTTATCCAAAATAATAAACCAAACGCACCTTTAAAGGTAATTAAATCATTATTTGAGTAGAAAAAAGTCAGTCTATACTTTATTTGTTGAGATAAATGGGATCACCATTACATATTTGCTTGTATTTTGACTATTTTCTTGTTCATCTTCAGTTACAAACTTCCGATCAACTGTTTTGTTTATAATTATGAAATAGATTAAAGGTATATTGAAGCTGGCAAATTCAATTAATTAATATATAATTAGTCTATCATGACTTTATTTTATTGTGTATATGAAGTGATAAATTGGGTTTGTATAAATAGAAATGAGAAGAAACTGATTTTTAAAGTTTATGATTTAAATATTTAATATATACCTCTAAATAGTAAACTACAAAAATAGCTGCATAACATATGAGCAAATTTTTAATTTTTTACCTTTATGATTAGAGGTGTCTAGTTTAGTTTATATGTACTTCAACTAATATTTTGATACCCTAAAACTGTCGGTTGGATAAGAGTTCTAATAATTACCCTCTATTAACATCCGAGAAAGTATTCGAATTATATATATATATAAAAGTTGTCTATTAAAAGTAAAATTATATCAGAAATTTGTCTAGTTGATTATAAAATATATCATCAATTACATTAAGTGATGCATATATGTTGATATAAGTCGTACATGTATTTATATTAGACCATCTCCAACTCATTGCACCAATTTGGTGCAAATTTTGGTGCAAAACACTATTCCATCTCCAACCCATAACACCAAATATTACACCAAAAAGAATATTTAGAATATTCTTTTTTTTCTTTTATTGTAATAATCAACAATTAATCTATTTCACTCATTATTTTTGTATATATTAATTAAATATTGGGAATGCTATTTTTATTAAATAATAATTATTTTGAAAATTATAATAATTTAATAAAATTAAGCATTTATTTAATCAAATAAGCATTACATTTAATATAGAAAAACATTACATCTAATATAAAATGATACAAAAAAAAAAAAAAAAACAACAACACAAAGGTTAAATTCCATATTGATAGTAATTTAATTTTCCGAATTAGTATGTTCTTCCCACAAATGATCCAAGCCTATGTGAGTTTTTTCAAAATGAGCAATTAAGAATTATGCAAAAAAGAGTTCAACAACAAGGTCAAGGATCTCAAAATAACTCAAGTTCTTTTCAATATTTTGATGATCTTACTGAATCCGGAACTAATCTACCGGAATACTAAATTGTTATTTTAGTTTATGTTGTATTTTCTTTTAATTTTAGTGTTTTTAAATTAGTGTTAATTTTTATTTTGAGTTATTGTAGTTTAATATTTGTATTGAAAAAAGTTCTATTTTTAATTTTTCATCATTTTTTTAAATTATATCATTATTATAAATAATAATCAAATTAAATTAAATACAAATACTCAAATTTGGTGTGATTTTTAGTGTAAAATTTAATACTCAAATTAACTTAACAAAATAAAAAATATATTTTATTTGTGCTATAGTATTGCGCCATTTTGACGCAGTGCAATCTAGTGTTTTTTGCACCATTTTGGCATGGATTGGAGATGCCCTTAGAAACTATCTACATCATCAATAAAAATATTATATTGTATGACACTTTATTTATATTCCAGACTAACTTTTAAGTTTTAACTGCTGAAATGTAAGATGTTTAATTAATAATTGATTAGTCGTTTAATATTCGATCATATGATTTCTAACACATTGGTAAATAAACTTTATAATTTGTTTATTTAAAAAAGCGTAAAAAGGGTAAAAATAATTTTTTTTATTGGCATAAGGCATAAATTTAAGGATTGATGTGATTGAGATTGCACTAGACCAGAAATAGAATGGTCCATGGCTTTAAGATAGTTTTTGTTAAAGGTTATTGTCACATCAGTCAGAAAATCAATTATAGTATTTACCAATAAAGAGATACGTATCCATCTCTTTCTGATGAATAGATGAACTATTAGAAAGTAGCCTATTTTTTGTTACGAGGAATGATGCATTTATAGAAAGGAGCATACCGAATATATGCAATAATGACATGGTATAACTTTGATCATAATTAATATTAATCTATGATAAAAATTATGTTATATTATTCTGTATATAAATTTAGTGTATTCTTTTCGATAATTGCATTTTTTTATTTTTTATTTGCATCAATATTCATTACAATTTTTTAAAAAATAATAATAATTGCTCTAAATAAATAGATAAAATATAGAAAAGGTTACTCAAATTGTGATGATATTGATGGCAGTTATCACTATTATTTAATGATAAAATTATTTTTTTTTTGACAGGGTGGTCAGACCAGTTTGATGACATCTCAACTAATCTTTTATGATTTTTTTTAAGTTGAGATAAATCTTTTCAGTGATCACCCCATTAACAACTTAAGTGGATCGAACTCAAAACGTTTTGAATAAAATATTCCAAAATTTTAATTGACCGTTAGATTAATCATTGTGGTTATTTAACGATATTATTATTAAGCTATCTTGGCCGAATATGATCAGAATGATGCTACTTTTATAAATTGGAATTCCAACGTTAAATCTTAATCAATATAACTATTTATATGTCAATATTTTATTAATTTGTCGAAAATACAACAAAATTTGACATATAATATAGTGCAGGATGATCTTAGCAAAATGCCTCTGAATATTATAGCTAAAAGATTTTGCAGTATAAGCAAAGATATAAGAATGATAATGATAATCCTAGTAACAAGTGTGGGATATGAATTGGTTATGGTTTAATTCTCAGATCAAAGCATATTTAAAGGAATAAATTTTGCTTAAATTTAAGAGAGCTACAGAAAACTATTATAATACTTGCGAGAGATTCAAGAAAATCCATCCACGAATGAATATTTTTCATTATTTATATTTATTTTTTGTGGCCGCGGAAAAAAAAAAAAAAGCGCGTTAGTTAAGTACAAACTATATATGAAATTACACTTTTGGATTAAACATTTTGTTGATATTTGATTTTGACATCAACTATTCGCATGTGTAAAATACTAAAATAATTTAAAAGTCACACGTGATATAAGGGGATTAAATCAAGTAAAAGGTGAAGAGCAATATTTAAAGTGGTTTGGATGCTTTAAAGCGAATCCTACATCCACTGCTATTATATTAATAAGAGAGAATGATCAGATTGCGTTTAGCGAGTTGAGTTATAACTTAGAGAGAAAGAGAGAGCTATTTTAGCTTAAAATCAACTAATCCCCTTAAATGAGAGGGAAATCATCTATTTATAGTGGGAAAGTTCAAGATAATGATTATGAAAGCTACAAGTGGATAGGTATCGTGCAACTCTGTTTTTTGCGTCCCATTGACCACTTGCCCAAGGGATTTCCTCGATTAAAGCAGGGCTTTGACACGTGGGTCATCTCCAGCCGCTTGTTGGCCTGGCACTCACCTGCAACACTGACAGGAGTCATGCCACTTGCACTAGGCGCGATGTGGCAGCACCTAGACGACGCAGAACCCTCCTAAATTCTGACCATCCTTTACTGACGAGGCTCCACGTCAGCCCTACTTTTTTTGGCATAACAAAAGTCCCCTAGTTTTTAAGGTTTAAAGATCGAACCTTGAGAGCTTCATAATTATGTCATGATTTGACATATCCAAATGACGCCTGGTCAACCCAAACCTGGCTACAAGGAGGTCGTAAAACATTTTTCTACGAGTGACCTAATATGGTATTCTTTCGCGAAGTCAACGACCTGGATTAGACCCGACTCAGTGCCGTATCGATGCACCTCTTATCTTAATCGAGGTCCGCGACCTGATTACACTTGGCATATTTCAGCTGGAGGCAAGAAATCACATCGCTTTACAACCGACATGCAACGAAAAGTGTTCTTTTCCAACGACCTCTTCAAATGTTATCCGTTGTGCTTGACAGCTAATCCATTAATGAAGTATCCTTTATTCTGACAAACGTGTCTTGTACGCAATAAGTGTTAGTCATGTGCATTAAATACAAGACATACTGAAACGACATTTCTTATCAAGGCATTAAATGCGGATGAGAGCGCATTTAATGTGGCGGAGAGAATCGAGCCGTGGCTCCATTATTTCAACGGAGAGACGCGATGATTGAATTTCTTGAAGCGTGGCGGTTACTCCTTCTCATTGATTGATGACATGTGGTAGTGATCAACAGCGAGAGACGCATTCTGCCCAAACGTCGCTTGGCTTCGGGAAGACCAATCGTCGTTTCCTCCACTATAAAACCCCAGGCTCGCCTTAAGCAATGTCACAATACTCATACTTTTAGAAAAAGTAAAAAGCTCTTGCGAGACCAGATTTTCAATCCTTCAAGTTGGTGCGCACTATCCGTTAACAGTAAGAAGTTCAACCCCCACATCAAAAAAGGTAAGGAAGATCCTTCCATTGCTTTCCTTTTTCTATTTCATGGACAACTTAACCAGGCAATAATGGTGGGTGTTTATGGCTAGACTTTTGTAAGGAATAGGTTTTCAGGGTACGAACCATTGGGGGTGGTCCCCAAGGGTTTTTTAGGATTTTTGGAAGATACATTAGGATTTTGTTCTTCCACGTCGTCGTACAAAATTCAATACGAAGACTGAGTAATCTGTATGTGTCTCCCTTTTTTAGACCATAGTAGAGATGGACCCTACAGCGACCAGAACAAATAAGGGGATGAGCTCACAGGCGTAGGACACCCCAATGGATCTTGGCAAGAGATTCTGTCAGTAGTTACCAGAGAGGAAATACAAAAGGCAGTAGCCTAATACGCACTTAGTGTAGACGTCTACCGGTATAGGTAGCATACAGCTCAGAATCCGCCAGCGGGAAGCGATCTCTGAAGCTATATTCAAATACGGAGCACTAATTCCCTTTCATCCCTTTATTAGGTCGATCATCGATCCCACTACAAGAAAAACTACATTCTGGAACCAATTTTTTAGCAACTAACCAGAATTAGTTGTAAAAATGCTACATTTACCAACTAAATTGCCATTGGTCGGGCAAAGAGCAACTCAATTTCAGAGTCCACATGTTCCAACTTTTGGCGTTTAAAGTTAATGTTGTGCGACTATTTTGTTAGTTGCAGAACAAGTTGCATTAGTGACTAGTAAATTTAGTTGCAATTTTTGGTGGGCTATTTTTCCCTTCATAATTTGAGAATTTGCGTCTAAAATATTTTATTTTGCATCTATATTATTGGTTACAAAAAACATTTTTTTGCCACTACCCGTTAGTAGCTAAATTAGTTGTAATTAATTAAGAATGTATTAGTAACTATTATGATTAGTTACAAAAAATGAAATTACGAAAATATCCCATATTTGGACAATAATTACAAGAGCCCCAAGGCATTTTTAGCAACAAATGTTTGTGTTCATATTAACAATAGTTGCAAAAAAAATATATAGAGCAATTAAATTCGGTTTAGTTGCCAATTTAAGTTGAAAAATTCATCTTCCCCCCACCAAATTATTTGTTCCCGTCAGACTTGCAACTGTAACTAATTCTTTCTTGACTAAATATTTAGTTGCAAATTGATTTGTTTATAAAATATAATTATATTTAAAAATTAAACAACTAATTACAAGCTTTACTTTTTAAAGTTATTTACAAAAAACCCTAAACTATATAAAGCAAGCCTTTCCCCAAATTCCCGATCTTCTCCACGCAAATCCTTACCTATTTCACCAAATTCCCAATCTCATAACCTAGCTCTTCTCTTCTCCACGCAAATCCCTACCTATTTCCCCAAATTCCCAATCTCATAGCCTTACCTACCTCTTCTCTTCTCCACGCAAATCCCTCCCTGTTTCCCCAAATTCCCAATTTCTTCTCCACGCAAATCCCTGGCGATTACCTCAATAGGTTATATGTTTGTCAACCATATGCCAATTTTTGTCATGACCAAGTTTTGTGCACGGTTTTCCTGATCTGCTTTGTTTTGTTGATTATTTGTTGAAGGTTTGTTGAAAATGATGTTTAAGGTTTGATTTTGTTTTTTTTTGGGTGGTTTAGTTGAGTTTTTGCTTTTGGGTTTAGATCTTCTGCATTTGGGTTTGTATTCAATTTAGTGTTTGGTTTTCGGTTACCGTGGGTCGTGTGATTATAGGGTGATTGATTTAGGGGTCTTGTTTCTCTGTGTGATTTTTTGGAAGAAATGAGAGAATATTTGCAATAGATATATATATATATATAAATATATTTTTTCTGTGGGGTTTTTATTTTTTATATTATTTATGAAGTTTAGTTTAGCATTCGGTGTGGGAAGAAATTGTAAAATTTTCTGTGCTTAGCCTTTTTTTTTTTTTTTTTTTTATTTTTTGGTTTTTTAATGTGTCCTGAAATCATTTTTTAGTTGACTGATGATACACACAACTTAGTTTTTGCTTTTTTTTTTTCTTTGGGTCATTGATGGGGTTTAATGGTGATCACGGGTTTTGGGTTTCATGATCTAAGAATGCAATGTATATTTTTTTACAGCAGTTCAGACATAGGGAAAATGCTTTTGCATGAGAAGTAGAAGAAGACTTTAGTGTTTCGAAGTCCAAAATACATAAAATGCCATTTAGTTATTTTCAAGTTCAACTACTTGTTATGGAAATAATTTCTGTGTATTTCTTGTTATTCTTTTTCAAATACGGTTCCAAACTTGTTTCATATCTGCTATAGAGATGATAGATATAGCAAGTTTATAAGTACTGTGGAGAGAGAGTGGTGGGCGAGAGAGGTGAGAGAAAACTTTGATGGAATAGATTTGATTTCTGATGGAAAACCACCCTGTTTTGACAGAATATTTGGAGTTTCTCAATGTGGGTGCAGTCTTTTTTGAACAAGCAATTTTAACGAGTTAAATTAAGCATGGAATAGGTTGATTTTTGTTGTGTGTTAATTTGTTGAAAGGACCAGTGGGATGCCTCAGTTAATTCTCTCTTTTGATGAATGTGTTCTATTTGAACAACATTATGTGTTTTATCAAGTTATTGTGATTGGGTAATTAATGCCTCCAATCTGTTTTTTGCAATGTGGTATTTCTCATGTTGCTCTTTATGCAGGTTGATGGTCTTGTTGGCAAAAATCATCTCTTTAAGCGTAGCATTATTCTGATCAAAGCTTGGTGTTATTATGAAAGTAGAATTCTTGGTGCTCATTATGGTTTGATTTCAACTTACGCTTTAGAAACGTTGGTCCTCTGTATCTTCCATCTATTTCATTCTTCTTTAGATGGCCCTTTGGCGGGAAGTAGTTGTGGGAATCAACATGGCCAAATCTGTGCTATGCAGAATCTTAAATTAGTTAATGTTTTTTTCTTCTGTATAGGTCCTCTATCAATTTTTGGATTACTTCAGCAAATTTGATTGGGAGAATTATTGTGTTAGTTTAAATGGCCTAGTTTGCAAATCTTCCCTAGATGTAGCAGGTATGGACTTCCTTTTGTGTTTTTAACAACTTTTTGTTTGATGGTTTAATTGATTGAATCCTCTCTCATCAGCCAAAGAAGTACCTGAAAGCTGGATGGACAATTTATTGCTAGGTGAAGAATTTCTGCAAGAATGTGCTGACAAGTTCTCTGTTCGATCAAGGGGGCCTGAGACAAACACTCGAGCATTTCCTCAAAAGCATCTTAATATAATAGATGCTTTAAAAGAAAACAATAATCTTGGGCGGAGTGTCAACAGAGGTAGGGGAGTGTTTCATTCTGCTGAAATGGGTTTGAACTAACATGTTTCTACGTTTTCTGTGCTTAATGTTTTGAGGTAACTGTTCTATCAATATTTGAGGTAGAATCTCATTTACGATCTTGATTTTTTAAAACATATTCATTTTAATGAAAAAAAAAAAAAAAAAAGAATCTTATTCAGCAAACTTCTTGTAATGAATTTGGTAAGTTTTTTAATTAAGTGGAACTTTGAAGTTGGGCAACACTAGATTCTATTATATTTTCTGCTCTGGCAATAGCAAAGGCCAGTAAAAGCAGAAAGTTTTAGGTGAAAGGATTGGTTTCCTTCATTCGCTTTGTTTGCATTCCATGACTATCATGGTATTACTAACTCCATTTCTATAGTATCAACCAAAGAAATAGCTGCCAGTGGCAGAACTACTTCTGCAGCACGCAGTACTTCCATTAACAAATGCAATTTTTTCTGCTGTAACCTACATTACCCTTATTTTTTGGCTTCTCGAATGTTAGTTGAAAATCACAGCACTGTTTTCACTATAGTACCTTTATTTTTTCATTTGATATAATTGTAGAGTCACCATTTTATTACATCACATGCTTTAGTACCTTTCTTCTGATTGTTATTAAGTGTATACTATATTGGCTCCTTCATCTCATAAAGTGCTTTAGAGTACACAATCATGTGTACCTTGCTTCTTGTTTTTCTCTTCTCGTCTGCTGTTGTGATGGACTCTGCAGGTAATTTCTATAAAATATGCAGTGCTTTTAAATACGGAGCTCGTAAGCCGGGCCAAATTCTATTGTTGCCACATGAAAGATTAGTGGATGAACTCAACAAGTTCTTTGCAAACACTTTGGAGAGACATGTGATAGTTATGCACAGATAGATAGGTAGTGGGCTGAAAATGTGGGTGCATGCTGTTTTTTTTTTGTTATGCACATGTGATAGTGCATTTTGGATTTTTATTGCCCATCATGCATAAAAATCCATGTATGGACTATATATATATGTATGAAAATATGATATTTGATGTTAATGATCAGATTTTATATTGTGTCAATTGAACAGTTGATGTTGAATGTATAATGTAGGTCAATACGAAATGCTCTTTAAAAAAAAAACACATTCTGCAATTAATTTTTTTAGTAGCAACAAGTAATTTAGCATAATTGCATTCCACTAAAGGTCGATACAAAATGCTCTAAAAAAACACATTTGCAACTAATGTTTTAGTAGCAAAAAGTAATTTAGTATAATGCTTTCACATTCTAAAAATAGTTGCGAAAACCTTTTGAATTTCACATTCAACGTCTAAAATGATTATAATTAACCACTAAATTTTGGTCACTAAAAGATACATTTGGTTACTAATAAAATAGTCACGAAAATCTATTGGATTTCACATTTAGCGTTTAAAATGATTATAATTAACTACTAAATTTTGGTCACCAAAAGATACATTCGTCGAATAATAAAATAGTTGCGAATACCTTTGATGAAATTACCCCTACACCTTTGGCGTCTAATTTTTGTGGCATTCGCGACAAATTATTAGACACTAAAAAGGTACATTTTGCAACTAATTGATTAGTCGTTATGTAATTTTACCAAATTACCCTTGAATTATTAGCGTCTAGCTGGGGGACTATTTTGACAAGCAATTAGTAACTAATTTGCTGGTCGCCAAAAAAAAACTTTCCGCGTCTAAACAAAAATTTAGACGCGTAAACAATCTACGACAGTGATAATGCAACTAACTGGCGACTACGAAATTTAGATGCGAAAAATGGCTTAGCATCTAAATGTTACTTTCTGCGTCTAATTTTGCTTGACGCCAAAAGGCATTTTTCTTATAGTGTCCCTTTATTAGGTTGATCATCGATCACTTCAGGGTCGCATCTTTACAGCTGATGCCTAATGCATATATGATAGTCGTGGCTATATATATTGCGTGTGTTGAGTATGGCCTCGGCCAGCTGACTGAGTTGGAGCTCGCTTGCTCGTACTATTTAAAAAAGAGCAAGGACAAAGAATCTTACTACCTCTCGAATCGACCCACGATCGAGGGAGGCATATTCAATTATCCCAGTAATGTTGGGGCATACGAGACCAAGTTTTTCTTTTTCCATTACGATGACATCTGCCACTTTAGGGAGCCGAGTAGGTCTTCCTTTTTTGTACTTAGTGAATTTTTTCTTTTCTTTTTGGGATTTACTTTCCAATGATCTTTCTTGTCTCTTTGTAAGAAACAAGTCGACCGGGTAGACATATCTCTCTGACTTCAACCGAATAGTTTCATTCGGTAACCTGCCAGATCACTGTCGCGATGTGAAACTGCTCGTGACAACTGCCAATTTGAGGAAGTACGACTTCTTTAATTCTGAAGCGACTTTGGAACCCTTACTTCGTAAGTGTACGCAGTCTTTTCAAATTTTTGCTTTTGCACATAGCGAACTCTTTTACTAACAGTACCTGTGTGCATCGAATATGTCACCCAAAGTGCCAAGGTCATTGAGAAAGAGGGGGTTAGTTTTCCCTCGGGTCGGTGCCACGAAACTAGCCAAGGCGGGCCCTAGCGACACCCTTATCGAAGGAGCGCAGGTGGGGGCGCAACCACCTACCGAATAATCTGCAGAACCTTCTCAGCTTACGGCCGCATGCCTAAAGCAAAAGACCACGAGCCAAAAGTCCAAGAAAAGAAGGGTGCTGCAGCCCGAGGAATCAGAGTCTGAGTCGGAGAGCTTGGGGGTGCAGCTTGGGAGGTCACAACCTTATTAGGCTTTTCGCTCGGGAGAGAGCTCGAGGCGCGCGATTAGGGTTACACTGGTCTATCTGCATAGGGGACAAAGGAAGGTCGCGGCTTCCGGGAGGAGAGAAGGCAAAGGGTCAGCTGGTGAGGTGCCTTTTGCTTCAGGAGCTGACACACCAGTGTTGGACTCTATGGGTCAACTTCCGGAGCACCTGCAGTTGGTGGTGTTCACCCTTTTGGAGTGCCAACTTGCCAAAGTCTTTGAAGAGCTCGTGGCCTCCAACAATGCAGACCTGATGATTAGGGCGGTTTAAATGCAAAGCCAGGTAAGACGGTTTGTCCTCGTCGAGGACTTTCCAATGCTTTACTCTTTTTAAGGAGATAGTCTAATGTTTGCTTATTTCACTATGCAGTCTTTGCTCGCCATGCACCTGACCCAACAAAAGATCCAACTTGAAGCTTCCGGGCAACTCTTCGAGCTAAAGGAAGAGAACATGCAGTTGAGGCACGACTTAGCAGCTGCGAAAGAAGAGCTGAGCTTGCACATCGTTCAGACAAACCAGTACATGTAGGAGAGGAACTCTGCTCTTCACACGGTGGACTTCCAGAAGGCCGAGCTGGAGAAGAGGGGAGAGAAGCTTAAACAGCTTCAAAGGAAAGTGACCAGACTCACCAAAGAGGCTGGCGAGAAAGAGTTGGAGCTACAAGCGAACTCTGAGCTGGCATTGCGGGCGGAGGAAGAGAGAGATCGATTGTGGGAAACTTCCGAGAAGTAGAGGAGGGCACTCAAGGCGGACCTTGAATTATCCCAAGGGCGAGTCGCTTCATTAACTGAAGAGATGAAGCGACAAGAATTGGAAATTGAGAGGAAAGCTGCTGACTGGTCGATTCAGTCCATTTATGCCCTTTGGCCAAAGAACTCGACCATGGACCTCACCGACCTTCTGAATGATTACTAGAGGATCCGATGGCGAGAGCTGATGAGGATGAGGATGAAGGTCTAGGGCCTCACGTGGAAGAGGATCAACCGGAGGAGTACGTCCCAGAGGACCCGACAGTTGACTATGTGGTCGGCGGCCAACCTGGAGATACCAAGGTCGCATCTTCAGGGCCTAGGGACGAAGACCAGTGATCACTTCTGCCTTTATTTTTCCCACAACCTTGCTTTTGACTGTCTTTGCATATTCTCTTGTAGAAATTTATGAATAAAATGATCATTTTTTTAAATTATTTGTGAGCATTTATAATCTTTCGTACTTCACAAACATTACATATGCGAACAGGGGGATGTCCTCTAGCTATTTGCGATATTAAATTATTTGTGAGCCCTTATACTTTTTTGTACTTCACAAACATTACATTTGCGAACAGAAAGATAAAAACAATGCGAGGAACAAAATCATACATTTATACAAGATGAATTTGGCTTAACATCGATCTTAATTACAAAGTTTTCAAGGGAACTTTTACGAGGAAATTAAAAGAGTGAGTTCGAAATTATTGATAATAGGGACAAAGATGCTCAACATTCCAAGCTCGCGATACTTCAGAACCGTTGAGCCTTTTGAGGTGATAAGTCCCCGATCGTATCACCTTAGCGATGCGGTATGGGCTCTCCTAGTTCGGTCCCAACATTCCCATGCTTGGTTCCTTTGTATCGAGAATGACTTCTTTCAGAACCAGGTCGTCGACCTGAAAGTCTCTTCTCCTGACTTTAGAGTCAAAGAATCTTTTCGCACACTGCTGGTAGACTGCTATCCTTAATCGAGCTTTGTTGCGGTGTTCTTCAACTAACTCCAGACTTGCACGCAAAAATGCTTCATTGTCTATTTCATTGAACAAGTCCTTCCAAAGTCAACCAGCCCCCACTTCCACTAGGATCATAGCCTCGTAGCCATATGCTAGCGAGAAAGACGTTTCTAAAGTAGAGGTTCTTGGAGTTGTCCTGTATGCTCATAGGACTTCTAGGAGGTCGTTGACCTAATTTCCCTTGGCAGCGCCAAGCTTTGCTTTCAGAGTATGCTTAATGGTCTTGTTGACAGGTTCAACCTGGCCATTGGCTTGCGGTTTTGCAATTGAGGCGAACTTTTTATGGATCCCCAACTCATCGCAAAACTGCTTGAATTCCTCGTTGTCAAACTGCTTTCTATAATCATTTATGAGTGTATGAGGAATTCCGTAGCGATACACTATATTTTTGAAGACGAAGTCCTTCAGCTTCTTAGTAATGATCACGGCCAAGGGTTCAGCTTCGGCCCACTTGATGAAATAATCCACCGCGACCACAGTATACTTGACCCCTCCCTTTTCGGGTGGCATAGGTCCAATAAGATCAATTCCCTACATAGAGAATGGCTAAGGGCTGGTCATAGTTATCAGCTGGTGGGAAGGAGCTTGCGGTGTGTTCACAAAATGTTGGCACTTGTCACACTTTTTTTACAAAGTTGAAGGTATCTTGTTGAATCAGGGGCTAGTAGTACCCTTGACGAACAACTTTGTTAGCGAGGGATCGCGAGGCAATGTGATTACCGCAGATCCTTCATATATCTCCCTCATGATATAGTCTGCTTCCTCGTTGGTTACACATCGGAGAAGAGGGGCACTAAATCCTCGCTTGTACAACTTATCTCCTACAAGTGTGTAACGAGTAGCTCTGGTTCACAAGGTTCTTGCTTCAGTCTTTTCATTGGGCAAGGTCCCATCTCGGAGATACTGAATAATTGAGGTCATCCAGAAAACTGATTCGATTGTGACCACGGTCTATTTGGGCGAGCTGATACTTGGGATATCTATGTATCGAACAGGAATACTTTCTGGTGCATCCGAGTCTAGCGACGAGGCTATTCTTGCCAAGGCATCCCGGATAGAATTACTGTCTCTAGAAATCTACGTGATCGTGAAGTGCTTAAAAGACTCGAGTGAGGCCTTAGCTTTTTTCAGATAACTGATCATGTTTTCTTCCTTGACTTGATACTCTTCCAAAATTTGATTAACAAGTAGCATGGAGTCGCTGTGATAACTGATTGCAATTGACTCCATTTCTTTTGCCAACTGCAGACCAACGAGCAGTGCTTCATACTCGGCCTCGTTGTTGGTAGCTTTGAACCCAAACCGAAGAATACCATGGATGCGAGTCCCCTTGGGACTAAGGAGGAGAAGACTTGTCCCGGCCATTTTCTTGTTTGAGGATCCATCGACATAGAGGCTCCAGGTCGATAGATTCTAAATAGTTTCCTAGGTGACTTCGCTGGACTATTGCTTGGATTCCTGAATCGGTTGGTGTGAAAACTTTGAAATGAAATCGGCAACAGCCTGC